TCTGTAATTTAATCTTACACAGAACATTATTTCTGAACACCAATCAGAGACTTTAGTTGCAGATGGTAAAAATCTCCTAATATATAAATCATAAATAATATTTCAGGAAAAGTAATCATAATACATGTTTACCTCATTGTTTATTCAAACTTGTATATTGCAAACCTACAGACAAGCATGCTTACCAAGTAGTTTTGAGAAATATGGAATATAGAACAAAGTTTTGAACTGAGATAAATTTTAATCATGAATTGAAAAATGTGACTAAAATTTTTATTGTTCTATTTTCACAGAGAGACATTGCACTACTTTCACCTCTACCCAGTAAGCTCTATGATCGTTCTTCTCAAGTGTGATGGGTCAGATTTGCGATTAGCATAGCAAATCCTGTTGCTGTAGCAAGAAGACATTTGAAACCTTCCTGCATCAATGGCCAAGAGTTTCCCAAGAAAGATACCGTAATAAGCCTGAGAAACAGCTTCTCAAAAAATTAAATTGTGAAATGTCAGTAAGATCAGAAAGATTTTAGGTGACCTTCTTTGCCTAAGGAAATAAGATTTCAAGGTGGGAAAACAGGAGTATCATTAAGGATTAATGTTATTAGTAAAGGTTTAGCCGCAGAGAAGTCATTCATACCTTATGGAAACGTGAATGTACACCTCATTCTAACACAGTTTCTGCTTGTTAAATTTTGGTGTATCCTGCCTTTTCTTCTGGCTTATTATAGAAAATATACTTCATTGACAAGCAAGAATGTCATAGTTGGGTTTATCAATTTAAATGAAAGTTCAAAACTAAGATGATCAACTTTTAAATACATTTGGCTAGATAGACACAGCATCGTTCATTTTTTTCTCTCCCACTAGTCTAAGTGGCAATCTGTCGCAATTAAGGGTCCAGTTTTTAATGTTTTTAATTTGGTCCGGTTTGGGCGAACCAGTAGTGATAAAAACTACCGGTTCGGGTGAACTGGTAGTAAAAAAAAGCTACCGGTTCAGTCAAACCGGTAGCTAACAACCGGTTTGACTGAACTACCGGTTGAACTGGCAGTTTAAAAAGCTACCAGTTAGGGCAAACCGGTAGTTAAAAAAAGCTACCGGTTCTTCCGAACTGGTATTTCCAACGATCAGCTGTGCAGCGGGGTTTAGCTTTGCTAGAAAACAGAAATCCTGCTTTCTAGCGAAGCTAAATCATGCACCACAGCTGATTCCCCCCCTCACTGTTCTTCTTACCTTCCCAAGCCTCCTTTTGGAGCATACTGTGCATGTGCACACATGCGCAGAGCGTGTGTTTGTTGCACACTGTGCATGCAGCAAGCACGTTTGGCGCGCACTGAGCATGCAGCAAGCGCGTTTGGTGCACACTGCACATGCAGCACGCATTTGGCACGGTGCGCATGCGCGGCCAGCAAACTGGTAGCAAACTGGTTTGGATTTCACCACTGTGTGGTAAGTATTCTCCTTGACTTCACTCGTTTTATGCCTTCATATCTTCATGCTGCATGTCCCCTCCCAATAACATTGGCTGTTGCTGATAAACAAAGTGTGATGAAGAAAGATAGGAAAGGATAAAATTTTAAAGGTCCTTTTTTTTTTTGCCCTTATAAATTAAAATGAACGAGAGAGCAAATGCTGTAAAAACAATAGTTTTGTTTCTTTGTGTAAGTTTTTTTCAGCTGGGAATTATCACATTCATAGAATAGTCATCCAACAAATGTTATAGAAATTCCCAGAAAAAATAAATGAATCACTAATGGGATGATAAAATGTCTGTGTGGAGTGTGGAATAGGTTTCCTGGCTGGCTTAAGCAAGTTGTTTATATTGCTGGAAGGCAATGCATGCAGATGCTACACTGAATGCCATCTGGACGCTACTTTTGAAGATACAAGAAAAGCAAAGCAAGGTAAACTTAAAATATGACAAGGGAGTACAAGCAGTCAAACACAAATGAGATACCTGTGATAGAGATCATCTAGCAACATTCAGTGAAAACATATAATAATATAGGATGAAAAGAAGCTTAGCTGCTTGCTGACTGGTTGACAGACATCTGCTTTCTCTATTAAAATGCTGCTGTTGTTTTAAAAAGTGGCCTTGTGCTACACTGTGTATTGAACCATAAATAATAAACAACTTACCTTTAGAATTCATGTACTGTTATTTAAGACATTATGGCTCTCTTAAAAAAACTGTACTACTCTTAAACCATTCGATTGGTATCAGCCATAACTGGGTCAAAGATGAATCCATTTCTGCCATAGAGATAAGAAACCTATGGCGTTTGCGAGGATGATAAACTGCAATTCATAGCATCTTTCATCCTTGGTTATGTTGGCTGGGTTGATGAGACCTGTGGTTCAACTACATCAGAAAGGTTGCATATTCCTCACTTGTTCTATAATGCATTTTTGTTTTTAAATGCGTGGAAATGTGTTTGAATGTGCAACTAATAGTACTCTATTACCAAGGAAAATCTAGATTGACAGAAGTCTTTCAGAAGACCTATACCCATTAAAATCAAAATTAGTGTGTCTTGAGTCCGAATATACTCATTTGCAGACAGAGGTAACCTTCTCTTTGTAGGAATATATGATTAATCAACTGCAGGCAAAACTGAATCAGGAAAACGGGGAATGGATAGATCTTAATATAGCACTGTGAGTCGTTTGAAAGCCTTCATAAAATTGTAAACAGATAATTTGGACATGTTGATGGGAAGATTAGGTTTTATTGTTTCTTGAGTGACAGGCTTAGTGAAAGGTATTTGTGGTTTGCCTCCTGTTGCTAAAATCCAATGACAAGCAAAACCTGACATGTGTGTATAATAGGAAGGCTTCAGGGAAAATATGAGAAACAGCTCATTAAGAAGCTTGTACTTCAGCAAGTTTTAATTTCACATGATGATAGAATATTCAGAAGATATGCAAAATATTGAAAGATGTCATTTGGTGAAATCTACTTTATTTGTTTTTGCTCACATGTATTTGAAGAGTGGGAAATTTTATCTAAGCGTCTCTCCTTGATTTGGTGTCCTCCACATATCTTGGAGTTCAAGTCCCAGATTTTAGCTGGGAATTTTGAAAAATGAAGTTCACACATCTGGGTGCCAGCAGTTGGAGAAAATTTGGGTTGAAGGTGAGGGTCAAAAGGTTAAGGAAGACTGAGCATAAACACAACAGGAAAATTTTCAGGAACAGCTTAAAGTTGTCTAATATCCAGAGCCAGTATAGACAACAAATCCGTTTTCTAATATGAAAATGTTTGCAGTTGTTAAATTTGTTTTCACAGCAAATAAATTTTGACATTCAGCAACAGAATAAGAAAATAGCTTTGCCAGTGCCAACTTTCCTCAAAATGAAAACAAGTACTATCTTAAATCAGATGCACTGTTATAGGGTACAATGCATTAAAAGGAGAGAATAAGAAAACCATTTTCTACTGATTATTTAGGTAAAGTTATTTACAGATTCATAGGGACAAGAGCTACTACTTAAGTAAGTATCCTTGGATATGTAAGTCAGACAGAGTAAACTAGATAATGACACAAACTGAATTTTAAAGAATTGTCTAAGAGAGAAAGAATAGCGAAAAATGAATATAAATAAACCTGTTTGCATTGTATGTAATTAGTGCATGCTTCATTTTCTTTCCTTTTCTTAATAATTTGAGGAGAAAATATCAATTATTTGATTTGCATTTGATTTTCTCTTATAATCTTTCTTTTAAAACATTTCTCTTAATTTCTGGCAATATGAGTATTTATTAAGTTCAGAACATACTAAACTAGATCTACATTAGGCATAATGAAATCAGTTGAACAGAAGGACTAACTCATCCCATTAACTTCAATGCATCTACTAGAAAAAAAATGGTACGTCCACAGGACACTGTAGCAATGTTAGATGATGGTCTTACGTATTTCTATCTCATTGTCTGATACCAGTATGCAAATCAAGGTAGTTACATGATGATGTCATCTCGCACATTTTATCATTTGCCTCTCATATTCTATACAATAGGATTTAGAATGAACTTTAATACCAGTTAAGTGTTTATATAAGACTGTACTTTAAGGGCAAATCTATCTCTGTCCCCCACTCTTTCTCCTTCTATTACTAATTTGTTTAAAAGTACCATATTTTTTGGAGTATAAGACGCACCTTTCCCCCCCAAAAAAGAGGGTGAAAATCTGGGTGTGTCTTATATTCTGAATATAGTCCTGCCCAGCCTTGCAAACGGAGATTTCAGAAGCTGAAAGAAGCCTCAGAAAAAAAGCCTCTGAAAGGCTTTTATCTAAAATAATATGGCAAGCAACAAAAAAAGAATCAGTAAAGGTTCTAACCAAACTAGGTTAACAAATCTGGAGAATGACACAATAACCAACACATCTGAAGAGGTTAATCTACATACTGACACCAAAGAAAGGAGATTGAACAGAATACAAATAGTCCTTCAGAATAAAAGTCTCTGAAAGAAGCTTCAGGAAAAAAGCCTTTTTTCCCCTGAAGCTCTGTTTCGGAGGCTTTCAGAGGCAGAAAAAAAAGTTTTTCCTGAAATGGAATTTCAGAAGTTTCAGAGGCAGAAAAAAAAAACAAGGCACAGAACTCACACTCAACGAACCTGTTGCTAAAATTCACCTCTGGGAACAACTGATTGGGGGTAGTCCGGGAGGCCAGGTTTGGGAAGGCAGATTCATAAAAAAATATGAGATCATATGATCCTTCCACATCCCCTAATCTTTGATCTGTTTCTCATTCCAATTTTATCCAAAATAGTATATGCAACAATAGTCTCCCTGCTCATCCAAAAAAGTAAGATTAATATAAATCAATTGTTGGGATGAATATTCTTCTGTACGCTCAAAGTAAATATGGCTTATATAAATAAGGAAGTGCTGCAGAGGTATTTTAAGCCTCGCTGTGATAACTCTGCTAGAGTAATTTTTGAAAATCTAAAATTTTGGGAAAGAGGTTTCATCTATAAATATATTATATACTTACACTTACAGGTTGACTTTTTGGCACATCATAAACACCTTCTTTCTTTTGGCTAGTAGGAACCTGTGGAAAGAAAAATATAATTAGGATCAACTTGAAAAGTACTGGAAGCTCTTATTGGAAGTTTAATGGATGATATATATGACTCTGGAATCTGAAACAGACATGTTTTTATAATGAATGAGATGAACGTCCTTTTTCCATAGTTCTTTGAAATCCACTTTGTCCTTATACTAGCCTCCATCTTATATTAGCATGGCCATATGTCTTGAATCTACTATCTAGTACCCTAGGTTTAAATTTTAAAAAAGGACTCCTTCACAACAAATCTGTAAGTTTGCACGAAAGCAGAATTAGTATCTTGTAATATTGTACTATTTCTTATATTATATTTTTTCCATGTAGAGTTTGTGTATCTAGTCCCAATCCATATTTGTTACTCTAATTTATTATTTGGGAAGAGAAAGGACTTGAGCAATATGTGAAGCTTCTAATTGTAGGTACCAATGACTGTTAGACTACAAAATGAGTATTTCGTAGAAAAGATCTGAGTCTTTTACTTTGTTCATATCTGCTCTGCACTCGTTAGAAACTGTTTTTCTTCCCCATTTGAGGATGAATAATTAAAGAACTTTGGTGGAATCAATAAAAGAGATGTTTTTGAAACTTGTGCATTTTCTTGATTTCTTGTCCTTCCAATGAATCCTTATTCCACTTGGTTCCAATCGCTCTTTTCTGTTGCAATGTATTCATTTGCAGCCTAATACTTTCTAGAAATTAAGTGTCATTTATTGGTACTACTGTTTAGTTTCTTTAATGTCTTGTTAGACTTTATTTGTATTGGCAGCATTACCTTTCTCTCATCTCACTTTTTCTGACCTTAATTATTAATTTGGTTTTATATTTAATCAAGTTCCATGTAATCTTTTTTTAATACTAGCAGGTATGTTATTTATTTGAATATGTACTCCAATACAAGGTTTAACTATCTGGTGTGGAGACTTTTTATTTAGTGTTAGGAGTACATATCATGTTACGAGAGGATTTTTATATTACTTTATACCTATATTATAATGCAGACAATATATACTACTATAATAATCTAGTGCGATACACTGTATGTGTATATCTGAAACAGAATTCAATGTCTAGTTGAGGTGAATTGTGTCTTATGAATACACCTTCTAAATTATGAGAGAAAAATTGTATACAACATTAAGAGAGGAAAATAATCAAGACATTAGATTGTTCTTAACTTGAGAACTGGAAAATGTTATTATCTATTGGGTAATAGCAGAAAAGTCAAGTATCAGAATATATAGAAATTTTCCCCTAGTCATTCAAAAGATGCAGAATATCTCATTTTAAACATTTGTATTTCAAATACTTTCCTTATTTCTATTGTCCCTTTCATCAGAATTTTTCAGATTCTAATTTTAAGATTACAAATGCTTTAGAGTTACAATATCTATTGGACACAGTAGCCCAAGGCAAGTACCAGCTTTGACTTATACTGTTCAAGAACAAAGTTATTACACACAATGTGTATTATCAGTTTATAAATAATAAGTAAGTTCTTTTCAGATTGTTTGAACGCAGAAAGGAAATTCCTTATTGTACTGTCAACATTTTATAACACTCATAGTGTTGACAGCTACTTTGTCATGGAAGACTGGATTGCAAGTGCTATGGTACATTTCTACTTTGCCTTTTCGTTCTTAAGAAGAGGTATTTCTGTCTCACTTATGACTATATTTAGTAATTCTGCTCTCCATCGTTTGAGTTGCTTACAAAATGAAAAGATTTTTTTTCTATTCAGATTTTTATCTCAACTCTAAAGTGTATTCACATATGCTTAATTGGGTGCTTAACTGAAGGAAAGAAAAAGCAGCTATAAGTGACCAAATGGGATAGTTTTATAAATTGAGCTTCTTTTAGGTCAAGTAAATGTTGTAAATTTACTGATATTTTATCAACGCATTAGATAATTATAAAATAAAAATATGATGTAAAAATAATAAAATAATCACAGAAATGGAAAATAAAATGCCCAAAATATATCCACAGCACTGAAAATTTAGTCAGTTCTATAATTGCATTTTCTACAATTTGCCCAGGATGTATTAACTACTGCTAGCTTTAACTTGACATAATGCAGTAAAAAGCAGTAAAAAGTAGTTAATTCACAACTGGGATGAAGCCAGCAGGGGCTCTGCAAGTATGTAGGAAATTGACCCATGGAGACTGTACTTGCATACTAAAATTTGTAAGGCAATGGCAAACCACTTCTACATTGTTATCAAGAGAACCATGTTGGGCTGAAACATTTAGAGAAGCTGACATTAGAGGAAGAGATACTTGAGGTTAGACATTACTTCTCTAGTTACTGGGGAAGAATTCTTACATTCTTTGCGCAGACTAAGGCTTTAAATAAATTTGATAACAGAGTACCAATGTTGGGGGAAAAAAATCTCGTTTTATAAGGGCACATGCAGTTTGAACCAGAAATGTAAGAACCATGAACCAAGAAAAATTGGAAATTGGAAATGAAACCTATTAAATTAAAAGCAAATGAGTGAATTTATGTTAAATAGAATGGGTTATTCAAATCAGATGATTACATCCTAAATTTCAAGGGTGCTATTACAACGTTAGAAACATATAGTATTGCTAATGAGTGTTAGAATTTAAGCATTGGTAAGTAGAGGCAGTAGAAATAGAAATTATAGATGGAGTATGAAAGAGATATGTTGTAGGAAATGAAATGAAGGAGAAAGACTATACAGTAATTTTGCAAAAAGGGTATTTCCAACCTTAGTTTCAGGAGCATGAACTGAGACTCTACATGAACTGAGACTACATAACTGAATGTACAATATCAGAAATAAATTGACCACATAATACAAAAAAAGATGATGGAGAAATGCAATCCAGTGAGCCAAAATCCAAAATTGTGGAACAAACTGCAGATTTGTAAAATATAGATTGAAGGACAAGAATGTAAGATCAATTTAAAAAAACAGTACACTGAATTTATTTTATTTATCAAATTTAGAGGCCATCCATCTCACCCTCAGAACAACTCTTGGCAGGCTGATGTAATGGGGAGAAGATGGTTTCCCAGATAACCTGGTCCCATGCCATCTAAGGCTTTAAAGGTCATAACCAACACTTTAAATTAGACCAGGAAGCAGATCAGCACCCAATAAAGATTATTTCATTTTTCACAATGAAGAATGAAAGAACTGAATTTGGAGAAACAAAGTGGTTCAGGAAAGATAAAAGGGTGACACAGGGTGCATAGTGCTTTCACTGGTTTATCTTGAGCAGCAAATACATTATAGAATTAGAAGGATTAGAAGAGGTGTCAGATGGAATAAAAATCGAGAGGCGGAACTGCTAACGATCTCAGATATACAGATGATACTTTTTGTTAGCTTAACATGGTTTAAGAGCTGGTTCCTTCCCAAACTTTTGACTAAGGTGATTGTCAGGCTCCTTTAGTTGGGTGTTGTACGAGAAGGAGGGTTCTAAGCCACTTTAGAAACATTTCATTAACACATATAAACAAATAAATAAAATCATAACAAATGTTACTGCATAACTGGTAAATACTCAAATGCAAAAAGGCAATAATAATTCTTGTAGCAAAGGAAAGGCATTATACAATCAAATAAAGTTCCACGAAAGCCTATACTTCTTATGATTAATAAAACCTGTTAGTATTACATAGAGCTTCCAAAATGATAATTGTAGCTAGAATTCAGGAATAGAAAGTTCCCCTTATTCTTAATTCTGTTAAAAGAAAATACTGCAACTCTAAATCTGGTTAAGTCAAAATAATTTTATGTAATTATGGATATAATGTGGATTCCAACAACCATGGTCAATTTGGCAACTTCTCTCTCTCTCTCTCTCTCTCTCTCTCTCTCTCTCTCTCTCTGTGTGTGTGTGTGTGTGTGTGTATGTGTAGGCTAAACTTTTTAAAATACTGAAGAAAGACATCCTAAATGATACAAGTAATCCTCAACTTACAACCATTCATTTAATGACTGTTTGAAGTTACAACGGAACTGAAAAAGTGACGTATGATCATTTTTCACACTTATGACCATTGCAGCATCTCCATTATCACATGATCAACATTTGGACACTTGGCAACTTGCTCATATTTATGACAGGGTCATAAATGTCCTAGGGTCACCTTTTGTGACTTCTGACAAGCAAAGGGCATGTTCACTTTACAATTGTGCTACTAACTTAATAACTGAGTGATTCATTTAGCAACTGTGGCAAGAAAGGTTGCAAAATGGAGCAAACTCACTTAATGACTGTCTCCGTCAGCAACAGAAATATTGGGCTCAATTGACGTTGTAGGTTGAGGACTACCTGCACTCTACAAATTAAATCCAAAACCTGTACAAGTATGGAATGGAATTTATGACTTTAGGAAAAATTAAGAGCTTAAAATAAACTTTACGTATTTTACTCTACAAAATATGCTTGAGGATTACTGGAAGGAACAAGAACACAAATGTACAAATTTTATACCTGATAAATGTTTTCTTCTGTTTCAGGCTCACGAATTGGCTCATGTCCAGCCTCAAACACAATGTACTATTACATCAGCAGCAAAAGAAAAAGGTCAGAGGTGAAAAAGAAAGGAGAAAAAGGCAGTTTTGAACTTTAGAAGAAATAACCATCAGCAGTAAAGGAACAGCAGTATAGGTTGACAAAAGAGCAACTTTCTTTTTCTCTAAAAAACCCCCCCAAAAATGTGACTTTCTTTTACAGAAGAGAAATAAAGGAAATGTGAAACTTCACTAATTGTCATTGAGCAAATTTCCTGCTGTATCCTCAACAGAGATATGAATACTGTTGAACCTTGTTTCCAAAGAAGTCTATGTATTCCTTATAGTACTTTTAATCTTATTTAAGAAAAAGCAGGGAACATGGACTTCAGCAATGAGTTTATTTTAAGTGCCTGGTTACTATACTGATTCTGAAGATGTTCTTATGGCAGGGGTGTCAAACTCGTGGCCTGTGGGTTGGATGCGTCACGTGCTGGCCACGCCCACCCCTGCTTTAGTGAAGGGGGAAAAAAAATCACAATACGTCATGTGACAAAGTAATGATGTGAGATTGACACCCCTGTTCTATTGGAATAACATTGCAGAGTACAAATCAATATTGATACTAATTCTAATTATCATAATCATCTACTTATTCTCTCTATTTTTTTTGGAAAGACAATTTTCCTATACTGTATTTTAAAAACCACTTCTTTCCTCTGACATGTTTCTTTAGTTCTTTTGTTTTGAAAATATTGCTACGAGCATGAATTCTATTCTTCATTAAAATGTATAATATTAAATATTTGTTTCTCATTGGTAAAGATCTTTCAACCCTATTTAAAAACAATGTTGTCCTTTATTCTAGTTAGCTCAATTTTTTTCTTTTCTTCCTATGTGTACCCACAATTACTATGGTTAATGTGATCTAGAAAACACTATTCAGTGTTTGCTAGCCAGTTTTAACTCCTACTTTCCAGAGCTGATTCCACTCATGCCATAGCATGTATCATGTTATTCCATCAGTCAAACTAAAAAAAGAAAAGGGGAAAAGTATAAAAATACTGGATTATGGAATGAGAGTAGCATTCAAGCCATGGCCTAGTTCCTAATTTTAAATTATTATTAAAAGATTGAAGGTAATACATATTGCTGCATCTCAATATTTAAGCTATTTTTTAAAAAAATGTGATAAGGAACTGATTTTGTGCATTACATTTATATATCTATAGATTTATATATCTATTTTTTTACATTAACTTCACACACAGAAGCTAAGCCAGAATTTTTAAGCATAGCTGATTAAATGAGCCATAAACATGGCATTCACTGAGTACAAAGCCATAATGGAAGATTTTACACATCAGGTTAAATCTAACACATACATACTTCCCAAACCAACATTATAACTCAGCATTGCAAACCAGGTGACTGATTCCTAGGGCCTAAATTCAACTAGCAAAATTTTAATTCATACCAAAAATTGGTACAAAATGTTCTGAATTTTTTTTAAAAAAGAGAACAAGTAGAACAATCTTATAACTGGAAGAAAGGAAAATCTCTTGTATAGTTTTCCATATTTCCTAGAATTTTTTTTTTTTTTGCTGTCTTTATCCATGGAATTGAATTTCTTGATCTTTTAATTGCCATAATTAGTTTTTAAAACATCACTTTTGGATAATGAATGGGGCATTGACTGTAAAAGTTGGAACTAAGATACCTACCTTGAAGCACCTGTCTTGTTTCCTATTGTCACAACTACTTATCTTCCACTATTATAAAGAAAACTTAATCTAGAGACTTTGCACTTCTTTCTCTGCAAGACATGGACACCCTATTTCACAGGTAGAAATTTAGTATGCCTTTTGGAGAAGCATTAATTTATTATTCTTTTTTCCTAATTAATTAATGTGTGTATTTCTTCATTAATCTTTAGCATGAACAGATTTATTATTTTATACCATTTCAATGACCATTTTAGGTTAGAAACATAGGGAGACTCTTACCAGCTCTGGGATGGACAGCACACCTGCTTGGCAACTTTTGTTTCTCAAATGACCTCCCAATTAAATAAAATTAATTTAGAATGACTCATCTTTCAATTTAAAGCTTATTTACTTTAAAATAGTTAATTACAACTGTCGTTCTCTTAAAAGAACAATCTCAAAGCATATGTACAAATATAAATAACCCTATCAAAAATGAGTTAGTTTTTGAAATTACTTCTCAATTATTATTGCTAGGCATTATTTTTATATTTCATATATGTATTCATATAGTTCATATACATAATGTATTAGCAACATTATGTTTCCTTTATTTTCTATTTTTGATGTTTTGTTGCTTTTTTAAAAAAATCTAAAATAATAATTTGAATTTTTTTTGTATAATTTTCAGTCTTATCCTTGATACCTTATTGATCTGTTTTTGAAATGCTGAAGTTTTGTTTTATAGGTTTATATTATTTTATAGATAAAACCATGTCCCTGATTCTGAAACTTCACAAAAAATGGCTTCAAAAATTACCTGATAAACAGGATCCTCTACATCTTCTTCCAAAATTGTCTATCACAAAGAAAGTCAAAGATAAAGACAAAAAAAGGGAGAGAATATGAACAGCAGATGCCTAAGAGCCATATTCATGATTTAAAGCATAAGGGAACTGCATAATATATAGATGTAAAATAGAAATTCACATTTGCATGTATCTTCTTTACCTACAGTGTATAAAATTATGTATGAAATAACACCAGAAGAAGTATCACACAATTACTCCGAAGAGCTCCAAGTTTATATATAATATGTTTATTGCCAAGTCAACAAGTTCACATGATTAAGTTTCTCTAGAGCTAAGTTGATTTTAATCACTGTCAAACATCATTGTACCAACACCAACAGTACAATTCTCAAATACAGAAATTGATTTTGTATAAACTGGTTTTTAGTGTTTTGAATCACAGGTTCTGTACCATAAAAAAAGCACCAAATAAAACACATTTTTTTTGTACTTGCCTACCAAAAATTATTAAAATACCTGATATACTGCTTGTTCACATTGTTTATCTTTTTGTGCCTTCTTTTCCAGTTCTTCTCTTTGTTTCAACTCATAAATAAGTTGGAAGAGGTCTCGCAAATCCAGAATCACAGGTTCTGCCTACACGCGATACAGAAATAATGAGTGAATATCTATATATGAATGTAATATATATACAAAAGGCCTAGCTAATAAAACAGCATTAAGGCAGATTTTAATGACAAATATCAAACTGTTTAGTTTGTTGTAAGTGCATTGAAATCAATGGAATGAATATTGTTTGGCAGTTATTCATTACAGGTGGCCCTCATTTAATGGCTACTCATTCAGTGACTGTTTTAACTTTCAACTGTGCTGAACGAAAGAGTTCTGGCTGTTGCAGCGCCTCTGTGGTCACGTGGTCATAATTTGTGACCTTCCTTGCCAGCTTCCCACAAGCAAAGTTAGGGGAAGCTGTCATGAAGTCATGATCACATGAGGTTCTTGCTTAACAGTAACTGAGAATCTGCTGGAACTGCCATTATTAAACAGCACAGTGGTGTGACATTACTACTTCACAACTTTTCACTTAGCAATAAAAATTCTGTTCCCAATTATTATAATTAAATGAGGATTGCCTGAATACAATTTAAGATGGAATATATAATGGAGATAAAATTTGAAATAATTTCATTCACTAATGGAATTTGTTTAATTATATTAGAAATTGAGCGCCATTTTGATCAGTATTGGGTCTTTTCTTTTTTTGTTAACTTCGCCTGTTGTGCATATGTACTCACAAATTACTGTAAAACTGAGTAGTTCTATGTGCACATTTCCTGTTAGTTCCTTATTCTCAGCTACATTTTCATTGCTGGCACTCAGGCAATATAACTTACAAAGCAAATTTCCAATTTCCTTGTGATGAAAAATTCAGTGAAAAAAACCATGCTGTTACTCCATGAATTGCATAATCAAACCAGCTAGCAAGTTTTTACAACTGATTATATTTTATTATTAATTTGTACTCTATCATTTGTCAGATACTAGGTGGCTTACAGAATTAAAATGTCAAAACAACATATAGCAAAACATAAAATTAAAAGTACAGGGAGCCCCAGACTTACATTCATTCATTTAGTGACCATTCAAAGTTACAATAGCACTGCAAAAACGTGACATAACCGTTTTTCACACTTAGGATTGTTGCAGCATCCCCCATGGTCATGTGATCACAATTTGAATACCTGGCAACTGGTATGCATTTGTGACAGCTGCACTGTCCCAGGTCATGTAATCATCATTTTTAACCTTTGGATCTGGCTTCCAACAAGCAAAATCAATAGGGGGATCAGATTTACTTAACAATTGCAGTGATTCGCTTAACATTTGTGGCAAAAAGGTCGTAAAATGGGGAAAAGCCCACTTACCAACTGCCTTGCTTAGCAACAAAAAATTTGGGCTCAGTTGTGGTCATAAGTCAAGGACTACCTGCATATCGGTTGCTGTTCCCCAGTTAAAATTCTTCCTTTCTTTCTTCCTTTCTGAAATAGCTCCATTATCAGGAGCTTTGAATCCAGAAAAATCTTCCATATTATATTTCAGCACTTTCAGAGAAAAGGAACTAAAACAATAGATGGAAAATCCATAGAAGGATATTATTCTCCTTGAAGGTTTTTATACCAACAGGAAATTTGTCTCACTGATATCCTGTCTGGATTTGGTTTAGCGCTCACAGCCACTAGGCACTGGGGCAAGGACTTCTATTGCCATCCCTTGCTTCGCCTGGGGTATAGATATAGAGTTGGATCGCATCAGCATACGGATGACAACTAACTCTAAATTGATGGATGATCTCCCAGAGCAGCTTTTGTTGATATGAAACAACTCTGGAAAATAAGCTGAGCTTTGAGGCACCCCAGATTGAAGGATGCAAGGCTTCAACCTTTCATCCCTCAAAAGCATGATAGAAGCAGTTGGCTTAGGAAAGAGCAAAACCAATATACAATAGTATATTATAATAGTATCTATGATCCACAGTCCTTGCATATGGCCAAAAAAATATCATGATCAATAGTATCAAATGCTGCTGGGACATGGAGGGATACACTGTTCAGTTCCAAGCAAAGGTGAACCTGAATTCCAATTGGAAGGACTTCAAATACTCTGGGGTTTTTTAGAACCTTCTGAAATTGGAGCCAAACCACCTTCTCATCAACTTTTACTAAAAATAATAGACTGTAGACCAATCAGCAATGTTCTGTCTTCTGTATGCATATAAATCCTTATTAGGACTTCATATAAAATTTCTTTGTGGTTGCCTCTGTTTTTCTAGAGATATTTCAGCGCACCACATTTTGAAAGTCCATTCTGGATAGTGCTGTGCAATGAAGAAAACGCAAGTAAAACCAAAATAAAATTATCAGAGTGTAATGCATTAATTCTCTGGTAAATTTTTTCCCTTGCTGAAATCTCAAACACAATGCAATTCAAAAATGAGTAACCCAACTCATCTCAAGCTTAAACTTCTTATTAATGCTTTATTGGTGACTATTTAATAGTTTGTGCTATTTAAGCATAAATTTAATTTACTATACATTTAAAATGAATTTTTAAATTCAAAATTGTAAGATATGGCATTATCTGAGATTGAAATTGTTGCATCTGAACTCACATCAGTAATTACTGTACCTTAATTTGGCTTTCTAAACTTACAAATGCAATCTTAGAAATCTCTTTAAGGTGGATGGGAGGGAGTCTCATCTATTCCTAGTGAATTAATTTGTACTTTATTTATACTGGTCAAGCTGCAAATTTTAACTAGGTGAAGATTCATTTTTATATACTGTATACAAATTATATTTGGAAAATAATGGTAATTAAAATGAACAAAAAAGATGCTTCGAGTAGGCCCTGCAAAATAGCTATTTGTTTTCCATTATTTTCCATCTAAAAGAGTGAGGAGGGACTAAGTAAGCCGATTTGTATTCAGCTAGTATTTACAGCTTAATTAGGAAGGAAAATAATTACTAATTAGAAAGAATACATCAAGAAAAAACTGGGAATGATGACTGTGCTCATTCCTTTCCATGACTGATATTGCTAAACTGTCATTTCAGAACATTTATTCAGGGGCTTCTGACAGTATTATGTACTGCATAAAGAATGCTACTATGGATGATAAAATGATGATATAAATGAGAAATGATACTTGATACTTACTGCCTGGGCTGTTTTTATTGCCACAAATCTATGATTCCCTTCCTTTCCACATACGTATCCAAAGGCCCGATGGTCTGTGATATCCTTTGCGATGTATGAAATTTCGTGTACTGCATGATGGTGTTGTAGTAGCTGTTCATAAACAAAGCACAAGAAGAGCATTTTTAATGTAAGCTCAGGGTTTGATTAAGGCATGATTCATTTTTATGACGATAAATCTGAAAAAGAACAATCCCACAATGAAAAGCTCGTGGTTTGATTGAGTCATGCGATTTATATTTATAAGGATAAATGTGTAAAACAGCAGTATCACAATGAAAAGCAATGCTTCAAGCACATTTTCTTCAAGACTACATCTGGTCGGTTTGATCATGTTTATAATCATTTCATGTTGTAGGTGCTTTAGGTGTTTCATCTAGAGTTCTGTTTTCAGTTAGATGAATCTTCCTCATCTGTTATCACAAACTCTCTTGTGATATTGTGTCAAACTTCAGATCTTTCAACAACAGGATGCTTTTCTTGTGATCATTAAGAAAGCTTGAGTTGCTACAGTTCCTTTACCATTATTCTTCAGTATCTTTCAAATGGCCTTTCTGACAAATCTGCCTTATGGATGAACATATGTGCATATCCTGAAGTAGCATTAGCACTGAAATTAATATTGCTACTGTTTAAATAAGATTAAGTAAGATTTAAAGGCCAACTGGTTTTTTTTAAAGTTTTTTTTTTTAAGAATTCTTGGACTGGATGGTGTAGAAGTTGTTATAATAAATCAATCAATCACATAACTTTCATTATAGCTCTATTCTTCTCCCAATATCTTGTTTCTGTATATACTCTTATTTGGCTTATTGACCGATTCTGTTTTGGATACTTTGTTCTCTATTGCTCTGACAGTCCAATTTAGACAATGCTCACTGCTAATAATTGCTATACAAGCACAATCATGTTAGGTAACGAAGATAAGAACCCTCTTGCCAAATTTATTTTATTTTTTCTTATTAAAAAGGCTTTGTTTTTGGGGTTTTTTTGCTTAATTTGTATCATTTAATTAGCATTTTATTAATGTTCAGAGATGATAACTTGACGTTTTTTATTTGCATACCATCTATCTTGTATAAAAACATGTTTTTATTTTACAGCCAGTGCAGATTTCACCTATTTAATTTAAACTTGCAAACATTTCATAAAGCTCAAACAGAATGCAAGCACACAGAGACAGATCATGGTAACTAAATTTGCAAAAATCTTTTAATTAAGTTATTATAACCTATTATAAATTATAGTGATTAAGAAAATCTCATGTCGATCAATGGCAGTGACAATATAGACAAACAAAGAGAAATATCCTTTCTACTGAATTTTAATTTATCTTTTTAATTAGCACAGAAAAATGAATTTACGTTTAGCAGAGATTAAGATAATATTCTAAACTGACATTTATTTCAAAGATGAATTTTCTTGACATTTATACTTGTCAATTTATGTCATCATAAAAATATATGAGCTACATATAATGAAGATTTGAATATACTGCAGAATGTATTTGACTTGTAAACTACAAGTAAGACACTCAATGGTGAACAAATATACATTATAGGTAGTCCTTGACTTAAGACAATTGGAACCAGAATTTCTTTGCTAAGCAAGGCAGTTGTTACGTAAGTCACACCCACTTTTATTGCCTTTTTTGTCATGGTTAAGTGAATTGTTGCAGTTGTTAAGTGAATCACATGGTCGTTAAATGAATACAGCTTATCCTGTTGACTTTGTTAGAAGCCAGATGTGAAGGTCACAAAGGCAATCATATGACTCAGGGATGCAGCAACCATTGTAAATACATTACAGTTGCCAGATGCCTGAATTTTGACCATTGGACTATGTGGATGCTGTGATGGTTGTATGTGTGATGACTGGCTGTAAGTCACTTTTTTCAGGGCTAAAAACTAAACAAACAGGTTTACGTTGAGCACTATCTCTATATAAAACAATAGGAGAGCTGGTCTGGTGTAGTGGTCAGCCTAAAAACTGGGGGACTATGAATTCTGGTTCCATGTTATGACTGGCCTTGGGTCACTTCCTCCCTCTCAGGCGTAGGAAAAAGACAATTGCCAACCATTTCCCAAATCTTGCCAAGAAAACTGCAGGGACTAGTCCAGGCAATTGCCATAAATCAACATTTAGTTGAAGGCCAATCCACACCAAGGTTAAGAGCAAAACCAGCAATAATACAAATGAACACACTGGCTGATTTTGAGAGACAGTTGTTCAACAGAGTAAACACTGTCACAGAAAAACAGTGTTTTCATGCCTTAGCTCCCATCACTTTGTGAAAGTAGAGTACTAACAACAGTTTTTCTAAGGACAATTGATTTGGTTGATCCAGCTAGGAGAAGAAATCCTAGAAGAAATATTTAAGGCCCAAATCACGCTAGCCTTTTTATGTTAAAAATAGTTGTTTGACTTTAGAAGGTAAGGCAGGGTCCACAGCACAGGCTGGTGATGATTAGGATGCAACTTGTTGGAGTTACATCCAAGACCCCTGAAATCTATAAATACTATGAAAAATCATAGTACCTGTGAATCACATTTGCTGCATTAGGGGTGGTGCTTTCTCACCTATATTAAACACTGGAGCAATTAAGAGAGAGAGAGGCACAATACATCAATGAGTTCTTGCTTGGGGTCAACTTCAGAATTAACCAGAGATCTGAGTTTTACTATGCAATTTCTTTTTAAAGGGAATGTATTCATCAATCTTATATAAAACCTCAAATTGATGCCTTGTTTTGGTTCAGCTTTGACAAAACATCTCATGATTTACCTCCATAAAGCAGACAATGTCCATATCTAGGGGTGATATAAGGAGCTGTGTGCATGGACAAATGGCATTTCTACCAAATTTATGTTAATGGTAAAACAGTCCACTTAACAGCTACTCAACAGTTACTTTGGGTTACTCAAAGTGGATTGCTCAATTGTAAAGAATTGGGGGCTAGTCCTGGTGGAAGTTTATTTTTCTATTTCTATAATGAATTTTCTAGTCATATTTTAATGCAGCAGTGTTCCCAAACTAGATTACAATATTAAACATGCAATTTAATTGATGTTTTTATAAATGTAGAAGCCCAATCTTCACTAAAATAGATACTGGCTATTACAATAAATATATAATTTAAATATTCTTATGTATAATTTATATAGATTTTCCACAGGAATCACCTTCTGTCAGTTATTTTGTTGGATTTCAAGAATGAGTAAGAGATATAAACAGGAGAAAGAAGGAGGTAGGGAGACACCGCGTAACATCCAAACTCCAGCTAAATTAGAGAAATGTCTATAATATTGACCCAAAGTTAAGCAGATAATCTATGTTGTCTAAATTGTCATGAGATCAGCAGCTATAAAATCGTTTAAACAAATAAGCGCTTTCTAACATACTGAATTCAGCAGGCACTCAAAACCGCATCCTCATTCCATATTCCTACCTATGAGGAAAATGGATTCTGTACAAATTCAGTCCATATGAATGTGATTTAGCCAGAGATTTGGATATATTGGTTTCCTACATTAGGCTGTCAAATTCATTTTTTTTCTTTTGTTTCTTTTGTTTCAAGAAATATTAAAAATAAAACACTCCATAAAAATAGTATGTAGGTTTCAGGGTTTTAAGCAAGCCAGAATACTTTGAAAAATAGGGAAATCAGAATCTATATAAGAACCGCAATCCTGAAATTCTAAATCTCTACAGAAGAATGACAAACAAACTATCTACTGCATCTACTCTCTATTCTACAGCTCTATTTCTTTACAAGGTATGAGCAAGAAAAACAGACATAAATTATTTTATTCCAGTTCAAAGTAAACTTGAAAGATAAATGGTGACAGTAACTGTATAAAAGATGGTGATGCCCTAGCTTGCTTATTAGGAGCTTTGCAAAAAGGACAACTGACAATATTTTGGATGAATGCCACATAAACGATCAAAGAACCATTATTATTTAGACATTTGCATAATCAAGGAACATAATGGAATAAATACTCTGTTGTCAATACCCTTCTTGAATGAGCGTAATACTAAAGACCTGAACTGATATTTCTAGGGTTCCAAAGTTTTTAGTAATTATCCAGATCCTAAGCAAACAAAATACTCACATTATTCACAAAAACTTACTTATATCCTACTGATCATATATTATGACATATCTGCCAATAAATTTAGCAGAGTAAATTAATTTTGTTGGAAGGGGTAAGCATTCTTCATGAGAGCTACATATTCTCTAGTGTATTAATTATATTAGCTTATTTACATAATATAATTATATTGATTTATTAGATTTTCCCCTGCATTTCAGCTGTATGCCCTCCTTCTAAGTGTAAAATTAGGTAACCCTTTCTTTATCTCAGGGTTCTATTAAATCAATTTTTTGTCATTATCTTATTGATTGCCAAGCAGTATTTGCACAGAAATTAAACTATGATCACATTCTTTCTTTATTTGTGGAATTGGACATAAAGATTATTCTGCAATGGTAAAATATCTGTAATGCAGGAACAGCAAATAGAAACATTTTTATTTATTCAGGAAACCTCATTAAGTCCTGGTAAATCATTATATTTTCAATGGCTGATGCAAAAGTACTACCTTGTAACTTGTACCAGGCTATTAAGAAGCAATAAAGAATCAGACTCGATTGAACAGAAGGAAAAAAAACATGCATACAACTACAATCCTGTCAGTATTTATAGAGAATTTAAGGAAATGGCTGTCAAGAAATTCTTAGACTCTATTAAGCATGTTGTGTCCCAACACAGTAGGTATAGAATGAAGTACTTTATATTGGTTTAGAACATCCCTCTGTTTTAGGCAACAATTATTTATTTATTTATTGGAATTCGTCAAACAAAAACGAGAACAAGAATAAGAGAATAAAAATACAATGAAGGACAATAGGCATGTTAGTGCACTTATGCACGCTCCCTCTACTTCTAATTAGTCATGAGAAGCTTCTAAATTCAATGTAGAACATATCAATTGTCCATGGACTACTTTAACTAATTAGTTACACCATTTAATTCAGGCATTCTAAGTTGTTCTACAAAACAGATAATTCATATTATTCATTCATGTA